GACTGTTATATTAAAGTGCTAATTAATTAAATTGAAGAGGGTGTGTCACTGTGTCTATTCTAGCAAAATGGCTACCCTAACGGAAGAAGAAGACGTTCAAGAGAGAGAGGATCAGTTCGTTACTCACCAGCAGAGGTGGGCAACCAAAGTGAGGAGGAGATCCTCTGAAATGAAAAGCTTCGTATCTGATAAACTGGAGCTGGCGGACAATCCTAAAATCACAGCTATCCTGAATAAAAACGGTATCATCATCAATCATAATGTACTATTGACTATTTTAGTGTGTTACAATGTACCATATATCGGAAAATTTTAGAGGGAATTAAATTTGGTGAATTTTGCCTTTTGATAGCCATTTGCCAAAATAAAATCCACCATTCTGAGCCATTAAGGCGGATTTACAATATGACATTAGGCCAGCGTACCGTCAATTTTTAATCAAAAACGTGGGCGATTTGACCTTTTGACGCATGCTTTCCGCTGGAATAGAACCAGATTCTATTCCAGCGTCAACGTAACGTCAGGACTAGCGTAATATTGTAAATCCGCCTTTATACGCATGCTCAATGGCACGTGGCCACTAATTTGCCAAATTGAAATTTGCCAATCACCAAAATTTAGCAATTTGCCAAATTTTAGTCCCTCAAAAATTTCCCTGCTTTACGGTATGGTTTTAATGGTACATGTACATACAGTTATAGACCTCTCGAGCTGTGAATGACTAAGTTCATGAATATCATTATTTTGAGTTACAGTATCCACCTACGCTAATAATTGGCCGCCATTTTGGATGGCAAGATTCAATGAAGAAGGAATGGAGTAAACTATAAAAATGATTTGTCTGGCAGGTCTGGAACTCTTTCAAGCTACAAAAGTTGGTTGGAAGAAAGAATGGGTGCTACCAAGCATCTCATAAAACAGATTTGGTGCAATGTGCAGCAGATTCTTTACTATAGCTTGCTTTCTGCTTTTGCTCATTGGTTCACCATAGAAAGTTGCCGTCCATGGAATTTATTTCCTTCTCTACCACACCCACTGCCGTATTTACTCTTGTGACGTAATTCATTCTCACCTCGAGAGGTCTATTAATGAAGTGTATTGTTTGTAATTCATTATTGAATATGAATATGTTGTGTATAAAATTATTATGGAGCATTTTGACTGCGATTTGAGAAACTTGCATTTTGTCATAATTTCATATTTTTGTGATAAATTGACGTACATGTAATAAAAACATGTGACATAGAGGTAAAATAATGTAAATAAAACTTCATTATCGTTGTTGTTGTTGTTGTTGTTGTAAAGATTTATAATAATAATAATAATAATAATAATAATAATAATAATAATAATAATAATAAATAACCACGTGCCCACACATGGTAAAAATGGCTACCATCCCCTTGACTGATACAAATACTCTTGCTGATATTGCAGCAGTTTATTAAAAGATTGATATCAAAGAGACAGTAAGTACCTCATACTATTAATAGTAACACTATTACTGATACTATTAATAGTAACAGCTATGGTAATTTTATTTCTTTTGCTAAATAGACGTACTTGTAAGTTGTAACATAGAAGTAAGAGCATCAAAAGTATAATACTTTGTGACAGAAATATTTGGTAGTACTTAATATTGGTAATTTGTGATTCCAATTTATTGGAGGTTTTAAATTTATTTTATTTTTGCGATTTTATCATTAATCTGCCAATCGCCAAATTATAATTCTACCAATTTATTATTATCATTGTTATTGTTGTTGTTGTTTTTAGGTGAGAATATGGTGATGTTCTCAGATGTTGTTGTTAAAGTTAGCAGAAGAGGGCGACTGAGGGAATGGTGTATGATGATAACCGGTCAGTTATAGGAAGGGGTGGGGCTTGGGGTGTGGCTTAGGGCCATGGGTACCAGGTTAGAGAAATACCATATAGCTCCAAATTTTGTCCGTCAAAATCTTAATTTCTGTTAAAATTAATTTTTGTCAGTAAAACTTTCGTCATTTTTGTAATTAATTTGCATACTACCCACATAGAACAAAAAATTTTTCAGTTAAAATTTTGTCAAGCAAAAATACCTAACAAATTTTACAAAAATTTTGACCAACGAAAATTTGGAGCTATACAGTATCATTTTTAAAACCCTTAATTTTAAAAATAGCTTATAAGTCATGACGCTAGCAATTTAAATGTGTTATTGGCCTACATGTAGCCTCAAAAATTTGTACAATTAATGTAAGTTAATTAATTTATTTCGTTAATCATATTAATAGATGGTAGTTTGTATCTATTGGAGGTTAATTCAATAAAGGTACAGCACAGAGTATCATTAGCTGATATGAGTCACATTAGTGCTAGTCTCCTACCTGATAACTTCTTCATTATACATGTACCTGCTGACCAGGACAGGCTCTTCATTAGCGCGTAAGTATTTCATTAATTATTATTATTATTATATTTATAGTGTAAAGTATAATTTTAATATAATATAATGGTAGACTGGTAGTAGTCACTGTAGTAGTAGTAGTAGTAGTAGTAGTAGTAGAGAGAGAGAGAGAAAGAAGGATCTTCTTTATCACTATACACACACATACACATTGAACTGTGTGTCACTATATAATGTCAGTTCATTTTTCATGAAATGTAGCCTGTACTTTAGTACAGGGATTTTTAAGTAACTTTAAAATCTTGTAAAAAATCCAATTTTGATCAGAATCAGCTCAAATTTGTTACACAAAATAAGTACACATATATGCATTAGTAAAAATTATAAAAATTGAGAATTTTTACTTTTCATTTTTGGCACTATTTGGCCAATTTTGTCCGATTTTTTAGTAACTTAATAAATTTGTAAAAAAATTAATTTTGATTGGAATCAGCTCAAACTTTCTATGCAACATAAAAACATGTATATGTATCAGAAAAAATTATTAAAATTGAGAATTTTCTACTTTTCATTTTTGGCAAAATTTGGCCAATGGCCCTGTACTACAGGTATAGCAAGGCTGCAAAAGTCGTGGCAGCCATTTTGTTTGGGGGTGAATCCTACTTAGTAACGCTACCGCGTTACTAATAGTACAGGGACTTTTTTCCGATTTTTGAGTAACTTTAAAAATTTGTAAAAAAATCCAATTTTGATTGGAATCAGCTCAAATTTTCTATGCAACATAAAAAGATGTATATGTATCAGGAAAAATGATAAAAATTGAGATTTTTCTACTTTTCATTTTTGGCAAAATTTGGCCCAGCCAATGTCCCTATACTATAGTAGGCCCGATTTTTGCTTGTTGTGTTATGTATTATGTTTTGTACATGTATGTTTAAATTAATGAAATAAATCAAAAAGGGGATTATATACATGAAGTTTGTTATTTACTATTATTAAATTTATTAGGAGGAAAACTGAGATAGTGACGTCACTAAGGATTACTTACTTTGACATGACAAAACAAGAATTGTATATACTATGTCCCAACTGAGTTTGGACCAAGAAAAACTGGAATAACTTTTTATAGGAATGTGGGATAGGAATGAGACTTTCACAGGTTCTTAGTCGCCCAATGCCGCTTCAGGATCTCAGGTCTTGGGTCTCTCAACCCTTGGGAACCCTGAGAACCGGGTTCTCCCTATAAACCCAATGGCATACCAAAGCTAACCGCAATGACGTTTATGATGTCATAGTTTACATAAGCACATGTGGTCGAGCGCATAAACTGATAATTCTTCTTTTAAAAAGCTAATAGAGCGTGGTCTTCTGATAATGATGGCCTTTATGGAGACTAGCTGACTCCAGGAGCTATTGTACTGCTTATCAGGAAGAACAAGACTGTTTTAAGAGTGAAACAACACAGCCGAAATATCGGCCATGTCTCTATGAATATCATTATAATACGTCATTAGTGACGTAGCTACATTTTTCAAATTCCAATACAGCTGCTTCCACTTCCGGTCCATTCTCAGTTGGGACATAGTATATATATCACTACAGAACAGGTAAACAATAATAAATAAATAAATAAATAAATAAAATTAAAGTAGAGTTTCCACAAGGAAATATGGTACATGTGTACATGCTTTTAGTTATTGTGTTCGTTTGAATGTCCCTTCTCTTATTTCATCTCCCCTCCCTCTCTCCCTCTTTCCTTTCTTTCTCTCTTAATCTATTCTCTTCATTCTTTTTGTCCCTCCCTCTCTCTCCTATATGGTACATATAATAACATACATGTACATGTGCCTCTACATGTTGTCTTTTAGTTATTGTGTTTGTTTGAATGGTTCCTTCTCTTATTTAATCTTCGCTCTCTCTCTCTCTTTCTCTCTTTATCTATTCTCTTCTGTCTTTCTGCCTGACCTCTTTCTCCCTCCCTCTCTCTCTCTCTTTCCTTTCTTTCTCTCTTTTATTGTCTTCTGTCCCTCCCTCCTCCTTTACCCCTCCCTCCCTCCCTCTCCTCATTAGTATTGATTATAAAGTTGATAGAGATCAAGTGAGACGAGTTGAATTCACTCAAGGAGACAGTAAGTACCTCATACTATTAATAGTAACACTATTACTGATACTATTAATAGCAAAAGTAGAGAGAGTGTCCAACTGCACTATAGTAGCTTGAAACATCACCTCGTAGCCTTTTCTTACGCATCTTTGGGCATTCCTGCATACTGGGTGTGGCTGAGTAGGAAAATGACATGTCTGAAATGGGTGCAGAGTTTGCTCAACAAGGTTTACTGGTCGATTTGGTGTCTCTGCTATAGCAGTACTGGAATTCAAACTTCTGCAGCATTATAAAGTTTACTAGTATGATGTCTAAATCTTCTTCAAGTGTTCTCCACTGTTCTTTATGCTAACTTCTACACGTGTTTTTAGTAAGTAGACCCACGCTTCTGGTCTCACGTGACTTACTTTTACATGGTGATTCGACACTCTCTCTAAATAATTATCTACTAGTAACACTATTACTTGTACTATGAATAGTAACAACTAGTAACAATGATAGAATTTTCATAGAATTTCTACAGTTTTTATAGCACTATTCACTAATGCCCACATCAATCTATTGATAATATCATTATTTTCATTTATTATTAGATGGTGTATATACAAGATTGTTTGCGAGGAAAATAAAGAATTAATAATAACATTATAATGACAGTAAATACACTGTGTGTGTGTGTGACTGTGTGTGTATAATCATTTTATCTCATTAATTTAATTATTACTTTTTGTATGAGTACAATAATAATTATTATTGGTTCTTAATTAATCTGTGGTACATCAGTTTGATTGTTTTATACTTAATAATACTTCAGTCTATTTAATGGCATATTCTTCCATGCACCCAGTAGCTGCTGTCAACTGTAAAAAGTTTATTGTCAAGTCTACTGTGATTGTATAGATGTAATAGTGTAGAGGTTAGGAGTTTAAAATGTTACAATATGAAACTTTGAGAACACAACCATACAATCCACTAATGCCCTGTAATAGAAGTAGAGAGAGGGAGAATAAGGAAGTGTGCCTTCGTTGTGTGAAATGACTATATTTGATCATAATAATGGTAGATTCTGTAATAACAATGTAGTAGAGGATCACTCTCACATGACACTGATAATGATCCATGAATATAATTCAATGATAGCATATACGCACTTTTCTTGCTCTCTGGATATACATGACCTGCTACTCCAAAAACTTGTTCCTTTTTAAACATGTGAAAGTTACTATAATTAGTACTGTACTTTGCACACCCTATACTGTTTGCTGGTGAACATTATTAAGGACATTATACCGGTATGTAATAGTTTCAAGCTATAAAATAAACAACTATTAGCAGTACTAAGATGACTTTAAAAACTATAATAGATAGCAGCTATAGTGTCCAACAAAAGGAACCTCATCATTGATAACAATAATACTATTTTATTAGCATTAAGTTACTCATCAATCACATGAATGTTATTATAGCAGCATTGGACTTCCTCTAGCTTGTAGTTAGCCAGTCAAGTGAACGTTGTGCTTTTTATAGAAAAGGTTTTCCCTTAAAAGTCCTTCTTTCTTTATTGTGGTATAAGTGATCATCTAAACCTTAAGTTACCTAATTCTCTCATTGTCCTCCATACTATAGTACAAGATGATTGATGTCTCTCAATGGAGAGCAAGTATTGGACTGTGGAACTACTGTCAAGCTGCTTCCAGTAGACCAGCTAATGGCCGTCACTCTCACTCATTCAAAGCTGCAGTAGACAGCAAGGCAGGCAGTACTACATCAGGAGAGAAGACATCTAAACTGCCAGCAGCTCTGTCTCTTATTGCTTTCCTCCTCTTCTTCTTTCTCTTTCTCTCTTTATTAAGACACATCTTGATAATTCCTCTAACAGGTAAACAACAATTGCAACTTTGTACTTGTATATTTACTGGTATTTTATTATTAGGTAACTGCTACCAAGTACAATGTACTACTGGTGTTACTGTTACTGATACAAATTACCTCCAGTCAGTAGTCTTACCTGGAGGTAGCAGTTCTAACCTGATTTACAATGATCTCTATTTGATTGTTTGTCTACGTAAGCTCCTCCTCTTATCAGGAGATGTTGAACTCAATCCTGGTCCTATAACAGGTAAACATACAATTAATACAACACTCATTAACTGATACACTACTGCAGGTAATCCAGAGGATATATTAAGGACTCATTCTGCTAAACTCACTGATGCTATTACTACTAACCTTTACAAAGTAACTGATGCACTGTATGCTAAAGGACTGATACCACTGGATACTAAAGATAATATACAAACAGTAACAGGAATATCTCATTATAGAAAATCAAGTCAATTAGTGTCTGTGATACAACAACAGTTGGAATCCTCTCTTAATCCAGAGCAGTATCTTATTGATATATGTCATGTATTAATAAACCAACAACATCGTACACTAACAGATATTGCTACCTCTATATTACACCAGTTAGGTGAGTGTGAGTGTGTGTGTACATTATCAGTGATCAAAATAGTCATTATATCTCAATACATTAGGTCAGTCTATACCTGATAATGTCACATCTATTAGTTCAATACCTGATGATGTTCAAGGATATGCTGACAATATGAGACAACGCTACAAACACCAACCTGTTGTTGCTACAGACTGGCCACCAAGAATTGGAAAAGATTATTTTGGAAGACTAGCACTAGTAGAAACACAAGACTCCAGCACACAAGCAGAATCAGCTTGGCATATGCTAAGAGGACAAGTTGATAAAACAGTTAAACTAACTGGACACAAAGAGATAAGAGTTGAAGATGTCCTCAAACATACAGATAGTCCTCTGTCTCTCAGAGTAGTAATAGACGGTCCTCCTGGTATTGGTAAGACAACACTCTGTTGTAAACTGTTAAATATGTGGTCAAATGGACCTCTTGTACACCACCAGTATGACTTGGTACTTTACTGTTCTTTCAGGAATAGCAAAATAGCTACAGCTACTACACTAGCTGACCTGTTTGTGCGTCAACGTTATGAAGTTCCCATGGTATCTGAATGGTTTGAGAAGAGGGACGGAGAAGGATTACTGATAATCTTTGATGGTTGGGATGAACTAAGTGAACAACTCAGACAGTCTTCATTAGCTGCTAGTATCATTCATAGAAAGCAGTTAGACCAATGTTCAGTAATTGTTACCTCTCGTAGCTATGCCTCCTCTTCACTTTTGAAAATGGATACTCTCAGTAGACATGTTCAGATCATTGGGTTTTCTAAGGAAGAAGTATCAACAGTAATTATACAAACAATTCAAAAAGATACAAAACTAGCACAAGAACTCATTGATGAAAATACAAACTCTTGGAATCAATACAAATCACATTTCACTACTACTCAAAGCAGTGAGGATTCAAAACTAGCAGTTAAACTCATTAATGATCTTAAAGTACGAAATGATGTCCAATCATTGTGTTATGTACCACTAGTCTGTTCCATGGTCATCTTAGTTTATTGTAAAGAAGGAGGACACTTACCAACAACACTCACTCAACTGTATGAGAACTTTATCCTACAAACTATCAGAAGACATGTTAAAAGACATGACATTAACCCACGTACTTTAGCTAGTCTTTCTTCATTACCATCACAATTAGCTAAACCTTTACAAGAGATGTGTCAATTAGCTTATACTAACCTGGTTGATACAAGAATGACATTCTCTTCACATCAACTACAGTCACTGAGTGAGGCAGTCAAGGAAGACTATCTTGGATTGATGACAACATTTATAGATAAGGATATGGAGAAGTATCAGTTCCTTCACTTGAGTATACAGGAATTTCTAGCTGCATGGTGGATAGCTAAGCATGAGAAGAAGAGAGAGGAAGTGTTTAAGGATCACTTTGATGATGATCACTTTCGAATGTGTCTGAGGTTTTTAGCAGGTCTAACTCACCTTGAACATGAGAGCTATCAACAGTATTTTAATAAACAGCAACTTGACTTACAGTGTAAGAGGAAACCAATGTTTGGATTTGAGACTTTTCATCTCTCCTACTTCTATCAGAATCCTGAATTTAATGAATGTGGTCATATCAGATCTGATGATTTTGACAATGTTCCCATTCTTCTTCTTCAACTCCTGTATGAATCACAGAACAAAACATTGTGTCAAGTATTAGCACAATTCATCAAAAACCACTCACTGTGTCTGGATAGAGTATCATTATCATTGTTTGACTGGTTGTGTCTCAGTTATTTTATGAACAATTCCAACACAACATGGAATTACTTGCACCTGGGGGAAATACCTCACCAGTCACTATCAGTCTTCACTGCTGGACTAACCAATAACTCACTACAGATCCAGTGTAAGAGATTGGAGTTAAGGTTGGATGAACCTACTGATGAATCATTAGATAAATTATTACAATCATCGCTTTTATACAATATGCAGGAGTGCTACTGTGAATTATCGTTTGGTCAATATGTTCCATGTCTTGTATTGCTGCAGTTCCTCAATCTTCCTCAATTGAAGATACTGCACTTAATAATAGAAAATTCTGCTATACCAACAGTTAACAATACAGACTACACAGACAAGTGCACTGCACTTGAGAAATGTATAGAAATCAATTCAACACTACAAGAAATGAAAGTGGAATACAATGAAAGTGAAGAAGTAACAAGTACCATTCCCAGTGTCATTAGAGGAGTAACAAGAAATAAAACAATAGTGTCATTAACACTAGGTATTAGTGGTGCTACTTTTTCTCCTCTACCTGATGGAGTAATAGAGCAGTTACTAAAGGACAACAACACATTACAAGCTCTTTCATTGAACATACCTGATAGACTCCTACAATCATCACTGAATATAGTAGAGGTGAACACACCACTGACTGCTCTAGAGATAGGAGAGGAGAGTAATGCATTGCTGACATCATCACTCCTTCCACATATCAAAGGATTACACTGCCTGATACTACATGAACCATACCCACATCTTCTATTTCTCTCTCATCCCAGTCTACATACACTTACTTTACCACTAGACACAGCTAAGAGTGCTATTGAACTATTTTCTAATCTACGAACCAATACTACACTTAAAGCTCTGAGTGTGGAGATAAAGAAAGAGAGAGCATATACCAGCAGTATGGGTACTAGTCTACAAGACATGCTAACACAAAACCAAACACTGAAATACCTTGAGATTGATAATAATAGGTATATCATTTCCATTTCATTCCTGTCCTTCCTAGCAACTGGTCTCAGACACAACACCAGTCTACAGCAATTGAGTGTATCCATTCCACTTTCACTGAATGAAGAGATAAGAACTTTTATTAATGTTATCTCTCAAAAGAACAATCTCACAGAACTCAAAGTGAGCTTCAAACCAGATCAGTCATACAGTAACAATAGTAGGAAAGAGAAGGAACAAATAATGACACCTTTGTTTTATGAACAGGTACTACCTGCAGTTACTAACATGTTACAGTCACATACAACCATCAGGCTACTGAGATTAGAGTGTGAATATATTGATGTATGGTCATCTCAACCTAACTGGATAAAACTAGTACAACATTTATATGAAACTATCTTCACCAATCCATCACTTGAATACATTGAGATTTCTACTGAAAGTACTCTCCTGGTGGATACTCTTAAAGATCAAAAGACGACATTGATTGATA